TGTGAAATTGGTTTAAACTTGTGTCTCATCAGAGGCTGTCTTCTCGCCTGCACTGATTGGTTCTTGGGATCTGCACTCTGACTCAAGGCGCTCTCAACGATGTCAACGCGTGACGTAAGACTTGGTACGTTTTCAACATAAATACTTCCAAATTCCGCCTTGATTTTCAGTCTGTCTGTGCCGTGTACATAAGGAAGATGCTCCCGCTTGAAAACTTCCAGCTGAGAGGAGAGCTTGCTGTAGAACTTTGTTTCTGAGAAATCGTCGGTTGATGTACCGGAGAGACTCGACAGGAGGGCATTTACTGGATCAAGGTTGACAGCAAAGTCTCTTTGTAATCTTTTAAAAGTAACAGCATCTCCTGGTCCGGTTTGGCCAAGGAACAAGAACCCTGTAGCACCACTAACGGTGTGGTCATAGATGTATGACGTGCAGGTTGTTTCCAGCTTCTCTAATTCGTTCTGAACAGTATGTAGTGTAAGGTAATTCCCTGTTGCCTCAAGAATGTAGCCGGTGGACTTTTGAGCTTCAAATAAAGGAGAATTATAAAATGATGTCGACTCACAAATAAGGGGCCTTGGTTTCGTCCCAACATCAAACTAGCTCTGGTTATACACGTATATAAAATACAATTCCGACTGTAAATCGTAACAGCCACTCTTTTTCAACTTTGAGTGGTTTTCTTACGTAAAAGCCTCATCTACATTTCTTATTTGAGCACATCTTTATATACTATCGCATAAGCGTCACAAATCAGCTTTCTAATTGCCACTATTGCAGCATTGCTGTCTTGGTACAAATAATCGTTATGGTATTATACAGCATTATACTGATTGCAAATACTAAAATAATGTGAAATATTCATCACGACAAAATGAAAATATCGCAGAATGAAGAAAATATTGAAACAAAAGTCAGCACATTTATAAGAATAATGCTCATAGGTTTCGCGCAGTCATGTAAGCGATTCCTACCTTGATAGGAAACGTTATCGATAGACTACGAGTAATCCCGCGTTCTCTTTGTCCGTCGTGCGTGATGCGAAATAAAACGGCAGAAAAAAATGGCGACCCTTTTTTTATTCTCGATATTTATTTACGTAGACTACTCCCCGTAGTCTACGTTATCGAAGAAGAACAGAATACTCACCAGGTCGTAAAGTGATCTGTGCTGACGTCAGTGCTGATAATTTGACTCGGACAAACTCCTCAGCAAA